GGTTGATGAAAGTACAATGTGATATATTCATATCAACTATAGAAAACGTGTTTGCATAAAACATAAAAGCAGGTGACGATGCCATATTTTCTTTCATAGACAGGGATATGTGGCAAAAATGTAAACTCACAAACCAGAAAGATATACAATTCCCAGCAGTGGTTGCCTCTGGGGAGGGAAATCGAGGGCTAGGACTATAGAAAATGACAGGAGATTTCAAAGTTAGCAATCACATTTTCTCTCTTTCGTAAAAGAAAAAAAAATTCTGATTACAAGTACCAAACTGCTGATGTTAATACATTTTATGTGTGTTTAGTTGTTGGCTACATGTTTGACTTTTTTTGTATTTGATTTTTTTTTTTATCCCTCCCCCTTCCGGGCCCCAGTTTTCAGAGAAAAAGGAGATTCAAGTGAAGAAATCTGGCTTCCCTCCACCCACCAATTGCCTGATATGAGACACTTCACACGGATGCTTAATAGCTGCCCTTTGAGTCAACTTGGACTTCGTTCCAAGTTTGTGACAGGCAATCTATAAACATTATCTGATTTAATCTTCGCAACAACCCTAATTATTCCTTGAGTTCACAGTCAAAGAAACAGACGCTTGGAGAATTTAAATAATAGCAAGAAAAGGGCAGAGCCAGGAGTGAAGGCAATGCCGTCTCAGGTCCTCACTCGCCCTACTGAGCAGCCGTGGCTGAGTATGGGTCCTGCTGTCCTGGACTGAACACTGAAGCCACCTGCAGGCCATGCTCCTGGACGAGCCTGTGAACCCAAGTGTGCCTGGGTGCCCTCACTTGTCACCTGGGGGTACCCAGACTGCCTGACTCATAGTAGCAAGTCTGCAGTAGTGATGAAAATATTTAGCCACCCCTAGCAGGTACCAAGAGCTCCTGAAATGTGATTGGTTTGGAATTTTTTTTTAATCATTTTATTAACTGCTACCTCTTCTTGAAACCCAGACACATGAATTGAGGGCTAACATCTCGTCTCTGAGCTTCACGTGTGTTTTCAGGATAGGTCAACTGCAGTTGGCTTGTCTAAGGCCATGCAGCAAGCCCAGAGTCCAAACCAATGTTTGAGCCAGGCCATGGCCTTCCGTGGCCTTCTGTGGGCTTCTTATGGCAAAATGCACCACTTTAGAGTATACAATTCAGTAGTAGTTCTTAGTATCTGCAAGGCTGTGCAGCATCACTGCTATAGAATTCCAAATATTTTCATCACCATAAAAAGAAGCCTTATCTCCAGGAAGCAGCCCCTTTCTCCCCTTGCCCTCCCCCAGCCCATGGCCAACATTAATCCAGCTTCTGTCTCTTTGGTTTGTCCCTTCTGGACATGTCCTGTGGCTGGACTTGTACGATATGTAGCCCTGGTGTCTGGCTTGTTTTCACATAGTGTAACGTTTTTATGACCCATCCACGTTGCAGCACGTCTTCATTCTTTTTGATGGCCAAATAGTATTTCCTTGTGTGAATATAATGCATTTCCTCACTCTCTTATACTCTGCAAAAGGGCCCTTGGGGGATATTCACAGTGGGGGCATTTTACACCCACCCATGGGTTAAATCCCCCATCTTTCGGGCCAGTCGAATTTCCCTAACATAGTTTTATTCTGTTCACATGCCCAAGTCTTTTGAACATTCCAGAAGTGATTATGTGCTCTTTATTTATTTAAAAATTAAAAACACAATTTACCCTGAAGATGGCCAAACCAATTTACATTTATGAGGGCAAATCAAACAACAAAGCGTGAGTTCTCAGAAGCCTCCAGCTTTTGTCAAATTTGAAATGATGGTGATTTAAAGTACCCTATATTATTGATTCTTTTCAGCAAAACAGAACCGTTCTCTGATTTATGATGAAGGGGGGTGGAGGGAGAGAGAACAGACTAAAAGGAGAGAAGAAACACTTAGTAATACAAAAAGGATCTGAGCAGCCATTGTGACTTTGACGTGTTCTGTGAGGCCCAGATGGTGTTGATAAGCTTTCCCTGATACCTGCTGTGGGCAACAGGAATCCTACACCCCTGTGCTTTCAGGAAGAGGGCTGCTTTCTGCAATGCTGCACTTTTCACAGCCCAGATGGGGCCGAGTAGGAAGGCAGACAGCAGGGTGAACCTTCCCCAGAGCGGAGCTAAGCCACAGAATAAAGGGAGGCGGCACCTGCTGCCTGCCAACCCGTGCACCATGTGTATTCTTCTTGGTCCAGCTGGGGTTGGGGTACGTTTCAAGAAAACAATACAATTTTGTGTGCTTAAGTAAGGTACTGGGCATACCACTGTTAATGGTCCTCAACCAAAAAGGTATTTGGGAGATGCAACCAGCCACATAGAATTCTGTGCCAATTATGTCAGTATCACACACACATGTACATTCATACGTATGTATACACGTGCGTGTGCACACACACATTTTTAATTCTTTGCCTTCTCCACACACTAAATCTTGGACTTGGACTTCCCGACCTCCAGAACCATGAGAAATGAATTTCTGCTGTTTAAAAGCCACTCGGTCTGCATTATTTTGTTACAGCAGCCTGAATGTGCTGAGACAGATGTCTAGGATTGGACAGTCAGAAGGATAGTTAGAGATGATTCAACCCAAACACTCATATATAAAATGAGGAGATGAAGAAGATTCCAAGTGATGCAATCAGGGTTATACAGAAAGTTAATAACAAAGGACCGAATTCGGGATTCTGGACTTCCAGTGCCCAGCAAGCAACAGACTCCAAAATTATTTGTCAGGACAATGATTTTTAAATATAGAGAACTTCCTTCATGTGTCATAGCCAGTTTGTCCTGGAGGCCAAAGTCTCCTTTTTTCACTTGTTATTCCCAGACTATTAATTCTCTGCTCCTGAAATTAATATTAGTGAGTGAAAAATATGTCCCACCAGTCTTACTTTTAGTGGAATACAATTTAGGGATAGGGAGTGTTAGGTGTGTGTGTACATTTGCAGCAACCATTAGAAAACTAATCACCATTCATCCATGAGGGAGTGTGCTGCCTTAATGAAGCCATTAGCCAAAGACCATTCTGAGAGAGAAAATGTAAAGCCCGAACTCCGAGCACATTACCTGTAATGAACCTGCAAATGGACTTGGGGAATTTCTGCGGTATTCTTAGCATCTGTAATGGCCATTGTGCAAGCTGCCCAGATTGTGGTCCAGCACCAGGAATCCTGTGGACCCGGGAGAAGACACGGCAGAGGGTCATTTAACTGCCGGCTGGTGTGCAGGCATGAGAGAGGAGCCGAGACTCTGCTTGTGACTAATAACTCTTTCAGCTGTGCTCTTGTTTAATGTAAAAGGTCACTTTCGTGTCAATTGCTTCCCTGGAGAAAGAACAGAGAAAATCTCTTTCCTTGCATCTCCTGTTCCAAACTGGAGCAGTATTTCTGGAGAGAGGCTTTGGAAGAAATTGGCCCAAAGGTAAAAAGTGCCGATAGGAGTCCCAAAGCCAGAGGACCTTTTTCACTTTCATCTGGTCATAAAGGGTAGGATTACAAAAGGGCAAGCGGGGAGTATCCTACATACCCCAAAAGGAGGTATTTTCTTCATCGCTTTGCAAATCACAAAGTGGATGAGAGGTGCGATGCTAATAGTTCTGCGTGCAGGAAATGTGAGCAGGGATGTTCCCAGGGCTGTGCTGGCGTGAGCTCCCACAGAGCAGCAGAGGAAGGCAGTTGGCTTTGCTTAAGTCTTTGCTTAAAATCGAAGCCCCTGTGGTGTGGTATCTGTTGCCAAAGTGCCGTCATTATGGGCCTTCGGAGATGAGAATTACCTGCCTCATCTGGTGGCCTTTGCAGCAGCCATGCTGTTACTATTACTGTTGTTGTTGTTTGCCTGCCTGGAATCTCTGCATTCAATCTTCCAGTAACATGATCCTATTTTTAAAATCTATCCTTTTCCTCCTGGAATCAGTCTTGATGGTCTTGTTGGTGAGAGTGCCCTTTTCTTCCTCTGGGTAAGGGCCCAAATCAGGCCAATCGCGTCCTTCCTCTAAACAATACATCTCACGGGGAGCAACTTGAGAATGGAAATGGTTGGAGACATGTGCACCACCCTGCTCCGGAGACTCTGCCCTTTCATTCCTGCTTCCTGTCACTTTGAAGATATCTGGCCTCTGCAGAGCCTCATTCAGCATTTCCTTTGATTCTGTCAGCAACCCAGGATCAACCCAACAAGCATCAGTACTAGTTTCCTAACACTGCTCTGACAAATTAGCGCGAATTCGTTATCCAGCGGTTCAGGAGGCCAGAGACTGAAATGGGTCTTCTGGGGCCAGTTGAGGTGCTGGCAAGGCTGCATCCTGCTGGAAGCTCTAGGAGAAAAGTCTGCTTCTTGCCTTTTGCAGAGGCCAGAGGCCATTCCCGTGTCTGTTCATGGCTGCACCACTCTAACTGCTGCCTCTCCCTTCTCTTCCTCTGACCCTCATGGCGTCCTCTTGCAGAGATCTTAAGATTACACTGGGCCACCCCGGATAACCCAGGATAATCTTCCTATCATCCCAAGAACATTAATTTAATTATAATTGCAAAGTGATGCTACCAGGTCAGGTAGCATGTTCATAGGTCCTGGAGACTGAACCCCTTTTGCAGGAGCCTGAGGGAGGATGTCATTCAACCTACCATGGGACCATCTTGCTCAGGGTGCCCAGAGAGACTTTCTGTTCCTCTATCCCTGACCGCCAACACTACCTAATGTGGTACTTCTGCCTGGTCTCTGCTATGGAGAAAAAGAATAGACGCTTTCTAATTGTTGATGGAAACTAGGAAGACGATCATAAATAAACTAAACGTAAACTGTTGAACATTCTTAAGAAATTGTCCCCCAAAGAAGGGCCCTTTTGCCCAAGTTTCTAAGGTAAATGTGACTGTGTGTCGTGTCTAAACAAGAACATCCTGGTGTTTACCTTGGGAAGTTCCTGTAGAATTGTCTGGTACCCAACAGAATTGAGAATCCCCATTGATTCAGGCATGTCTGGTTCTCTTGGCAGGACACTGAAATTCTGAACACTGCCATCCTCACGGGAAAGACAGTGGCCATGCCCATCAAGGTGGTCTCTGTGGAAGAGAACAGTGCAGTCACAGACATCTCAGAGTCGGTGGAGTGCAAGTCCACAGACGAGGACGTCATCAAAGTAAGTAATTCCACAACAAGTGGATGGAGCTGGCGGGAACCTGTGGGCATCCCATCCACTCAGGAAGTTTACACTGAAGGTTCCTTTATACAGAGGCTTGCGGACAACTTACTTCCGGCTGGTTCTCCAAATGTTCCGTTTCTCTCTCTTTATTTCGGCATCATGCCTATCTAGTTGGGTTTTATTTACTTTCTTTTCTCTTTCTTTTGTTCCTTATTTATTAAAAAATAAACAAAAATTGTTTATATTTGTCACATACAACACATCGTTTGGATATACATGTACATTGCGGAATGGCTAAATTGAGCTATGACATTGAACGTGTGCATTACCTCACGTGTGGATCATTTTTTCTGGTGAGGATTCTTAAAAGCTACTCTCTTAACAACCTTCAAGAATATAATCTATCGGTTTTAACTGATGTCTCCATATTGCATAATAGATCTCCAGATCTATTATGAACGAACGTATTCCTCTTATCTAACTGAAATTTTCTACCCTTTGCCGACATCTGCACAACCTTCCCCCCACCCAGCCGCTGGTGACCACTTTTCCATTCTCTGCTTTTATAAATTCAACTGCATGCTATTCCACATGTAAGTAAAAGCATGAAGTATTTATCTCTCTGTGCCTGGCTTATTTCACTTAATGTAACATCCTCTAGGTTCATTCTGTGTTGTCCCAGATAACAGGATTTTCTTACTCGTAAGGTGGCCTGGTCCTCCATTGTGTATATACATCACATTTTCTTTCTCCGCTCCTCTGATGATGCACCCCCAGTTAGGCTTTCGGCCTGCAGTAGGAGCTAAGCAGGTGACTTAAATCAGTGGAGGCCTAAATTGGAGGTGCCCTACTCTACCTGGACGAGAAGCCAAGACTCTCTTCGTTGCCTTTCCCAGCAAGGAAATTGCTACAACCAATTGTGGTCATGAATAAATGTGAGTGCGGCCTCACTGTGTCTTCAAACGAGATGAAAAACTGAGTTGTATGTTAAAACCACCTTCGTTTTCACTGTCAGCAACCAATTATAATTTTTTTAATGGACAAAGAATTAAAAATAAGACACATCTGCAGAGTGGGTCAGCCCACGAGGCAACTCTTTAAAACCTCTCATCAGGAGCAGAAAGTGGCACATTAGGAGCCAGGGGCCAAATCTAGCGCACTGCCTGCTTCGTAAATGAAGTTTCACTGGCACGCAGCCACTCAAATTTATTTCCATAACGTCTGCGCTGCTTTTGTGCTACAACAAGAGAATTGAGTAGTTGATAGAAACCATATGGCTCAGAAAACCCGAAATATTTGCCACGTTTCCCTTCCCAGAACAGGAGAGCAATTCTGTCCTAAGTTCCGGAGGAAAGAACTGTAATTCCTGGTCTTTCCCACCTTTGTCATGGGATTGTACCCACAATGTTTGCTTAAGGAATAAGACAGTGCAAGGACTTTTTCAAGCTATAAATTATGCATTCAGTCTTTCTCTGTGTTTTTGTAATCTCTGGAAATGTGCCTAAAAAAAATAATAAAGTTCCCATGAAAGCATCTAGATAATGACTTTTTCCCCCTTCAAATAGAATCTGACAGTCTTTCTTCTGGTATTGAAAGCTCCATGTCTGAGTAGATGAGAACCTTACCAACTGCCGAGGGGAAGGAAGGGTATGGAAAAATACCTCCTTACACACCCCACCCCAGGCCCGGACAAGGAGCAGACTGCCAGGCTAGTATGCTCAGTGCCTCCTGGGAGGGCGAGAGTCACCCTAGATTATTAGGACAATACTTGGGGGCAGTGAAAAGTCCCAACAACCTCCACATATTAGGACAATTTTCTGGCTATTGGAGACAGTGTCTCACGGAAGGGGTTTTCTTTTCTAATTCACCCCAGAGTAAGATACAGGCTAGTGGAGGCCTTAAATCTGGAGTTCTGGGAGAAAAGACCCTCCCACAGATCCACAGATCCTGGGAGGAAGAGGGGTGGCATTCTGAGCCACACTGTTGGATGGAAGCACAGCATGAGCCACACAGGTAATTTTATAGCCACATTCAGGAACATTTTTTAAAAAGTGAATTTAATTTTAATAATGTATTATGTTTAACCCATTATATTAAAATAGTATCATTTCCAGATTATGAATATAAAAATTACTAAGGTCATAGTTTACTTTTATGTTTACACTAAGTCATTGAAATTCAGTGTATATTTACACTTACAGTTCCTAAATAGAGAAAAGCCCCATTTCAAGTGCCTCGTAGCCACATGTGGCTTATGGTGACAATACTGAACAGCACAGTTCCTGGCTGGTCATTGGCCTTTTTTCCTTCCTTTTCTTTTTTTTTTTTTGAATCTTGCTCTGTCACCTAGGCTAGAATACAGTAGTGCAATCGTAGCTCAAGCCGTCCTCCTCTCTTAGCATGCTGAGTAACTGGGACTATAAGCACCTGCCACCACACCCAGCTAATTTTTCTATTTTTAGTAGAAATGAGGTCTCACTCTTGCTCAGGCTGATCTCTAACTCAAGGGATTCGACATCCTGGAGTGGAGGGATTACAGGCCTGTGCCAGCGTGCCCACCAGTCATTGGCCTTTATTCCTAATTTATAAGTCCCCTAAAAGCCAGCACCCTCAATAAATACGACCCTTGAAAGGCTACCTCCAGCCCTGATAACATTCCTGGAGACAAAGAAACTGCCTTTTAACCTACAAAAACCAAAAGAGAAACAAAAGCCAAAAATAGATTTTATCACAATTGTATGCGCAGCACCTCTTAGCTATTCTTAGATGACTTTGACACGGAATAGTACTAATATCTCCAGGAATATGATTGATATCTTCAAGCAAACAAATATATTCAAACTGAAAATTACCTCCCAAAACAAATCCAGAGATGATGCACCTGGGCTGTCGACAGAACAACATGGAATTGTGAGTCAGCAGACTGGGTGCAGGGGTGTGAGCGGATGGGCTGGGCATACAGGAGCAGCACCCCTAAGGCCCTGGCTTGGCTTATGGGTCTGGGTCTCATTGGATCATTGGCACCTGCAGGGCTAGTTAGGCACAGGTCAGCATGACATGGAGAGAAGAGAAGGACAGGGTGCTGACGTCTAATCAGAACCTGATCTGCAGCAGGCTCGCGGGGGTTGGAATCTAGGCAGTTCGGGGTCTTCAGAATGTTGAAGGCTCTGGGGTTTCATCCTAGTGGAAGCTGGAAAACCACATTGTCTTAGTTTTATGGATGCTGGCAGAAGACACAGACTGCTGCGTCAGAGACAAAGGACAGCTACTCTTTCAGCATCTTTCTGCACCAGTTGTCTGAGCTCCAGTTTCACAGGGTTATGCCAAGGAGCCTCTGACACCTACAATGCACAGATTGTATTCCTTTATGCATCCCTGCCTAGTCCTTCCTCTCCCCAATGGAGGGGCGTGTAGACAGTGAAGCCAGGCCACTGTGTGGTGTGAGGGCACCATAAGAGCCGAGCGTGCAGCCTACAGTGTATCTAGTAGACAGGTTAATGGGAGTCAGGGCATCTGAACAGGAGATGTCCGTGTCTGGGTCGATTCACATTTGAGAGATGAAGGAGCAACATATCACAGAAGGGCCATGACTTGCCCAACCACAGCACCGGGAACCATGACAAGAAGAAGAATATGCATATGGACAAGCACTTGGGTGGCCAGTCAGCTATCACAGAGTATCTAATCTGAATGTGTCCACATTCTGATGTCCTTGCAACAGGGATGTGTCTTGCAGTCAACAACATGGCACAAATTCCTACGGCAATGGTTTTCCTACTTGTGGTGTCTTAGATTCAACAATATCCAGTAGATATTGCCCACAAAACACATGAGATTCATTCAGCAGAGTATGAACTGATTTCTTGGTGCCATTCTAAGACTGGGATGCTGCAAAAAAGTAAAACAGATGTGGCCCCTGCCTCAGTCTAGCGATGGAGAAGGCCAATGCCAACAGGTGTTTAAGGATATTCCCGAGGCAATGAGGGAATGGACAGGGTGCTGAGCTAGGGAGCGGCTTGGGATGCAGGTTACTTTGGATGGGGTAGTCTCCAAAAAGGAGAGCCAGTTAGCAGGGCAAGGAGAGAGTGTGAGCACCTTCCCTGGACTGCACCCCCTGTGTGCACAGAGCTCCAGGCACACCCCTTGTCCTAACGAGGCTGCCACAGAAAACTCCAGCCCGAGTACCACAGTCCTGTCTGCACATTCTGCAGAAGTTCCTGCGGCCACAGGCTGCAAGGCACTGCCCACGGTGGGGTGGGGATGCTGAGACTTAAAGCATCATTAGAGAAAGTTCATCTATTGAATTTCCATCGCAGCCTGCCTGACCTCCGGGGCACGATTCCTGCTAATGGATCCCAGTGCAGAACTAAAAATAATGCATACGGGCAACTAGCGGCCCCAGCTTTTCCCCAGTGACTGGAGGTGCCTGCATTAGCTCCGGCATGCAGAGAGCAGCCTTGCTCAGCCAACAGCCTTATCGTTCCCCTGAGCGCGGGCTCCTGTCAGCACTAAACTTTCTATGTACCAAATTTACCATTGATTTTATAGGCTCTAAGTTCTTAAGAAGGAGAAGTTCTTTGGTAAGAGCCTTAAGTTTTAAAGTGTCTGCAGAATATATTTATTACCTCTTTGGGATCACATCCCTCCCCCAGTAGGAAGGTGAGCAGAAGAGGGTTTCCCATTTGTGCTTGTCATACCGGAGGAGAAGTGCTGGAAGGTCTTTATCCTCAAGGGCCATTTGGCTCTCAGATGAAAGAAAATTATAAAGAAAGCAAAGAAATTCCTAGAATCTGGAATTCCTGAGCCCGGCTGTTCCCCTTTCTGTATCTGGGATCCCCACTGTAACCTGAGGAAGCTCCTGCCTGCAGGGTTTTCTAGCACCTACCTGCCCTCCAACTGGGGTTCAAAGTATAGTTTAAATAGCGTGTTTAAGAGCCCACACTCTGCCAGTAACACGTCTCTCTTTGAGCCTCAGTTCCTTTGTCTGCCTAATGGGG